TCTGTATCTAATTACTCCGAGACAACTGAGGCAAACATCCATGCTCATTTACAACAGTTGTTAACCTTTAATTTGACTGGCAACGCAGGGCGGAAAAGCCCACCGTGCGCCCGTTGGACCACATTTGGCACCCAAATCCCCACATTGTTTATCTCACTATGCCTCATTTGCTTGAATTTCACACTGTGAATAATGTTGCGTCCTGGCCAATAATACCCAGCAAATAAACTACGCTAACCACTAGACCATGACAAATAAGTGGACTGTATTAAGTATTACACCAAACGCATGCGTCAGCTGTTTCAAAGATTAGTTGAAATGCGTTATCCGTCGCTTTTAGTGCGCCCTTTGTCAGACGTCAATAAAAAGTCGATGGCTTTAATTCGCTAACCACAGATTGTGAGGGAACTGTAATTAAACAGTCTGGTGCGTCCTGACTGACTGAGTTCAAGAGGAAGGGATATTCTGATCAGCTAAGAAACACGCAAACAATTTGAAAAATAGTAATAGGTGAAAACAAAAAATGCCCTCAATCGGGTGCTAGTTTTACAGAAAGTCCCTCAAATTTCATCTACTACTATATCTTTCTCGTGGGAATAAAAAAATGCCTTTTTAGCACGTGTTTTCAATATAGCTCAAGAATCCTCAAAATTTTCTTACCAGTGAACAGCATTGCTTCACATGTTTGAAAAGAGATGGGAGTTTTACATCCAACCGAAAGTCCGCAGGCTTATTCCAAAATATTGCTGATTTTGTTTAAAAGCCTATTTTACGATTGATAAACACTGGAAAGCCCGTTGCAAAGCATAAATTAAAGAGTTCACTCATCACTAGAGATTCCATCCTGTTGGCGAATCCATTCTATGCTGACGAGCGTAAAAGCACTGTACGGCTGCACTGTTTGTATTGGAAATCATTAGCAGTGCGAAATTCATAAAGCGAAAGAGGACTTACACCCGAGACCCTGCGGCCTGAAGTTAAACACTTAACTGTTGAGCCACGATCGGATGAACAACACCGTTACTAGCTCTCACTTGGAGAGGGTATAGCACCTTTCACTTTTTAATCGCGGGACCACATCAAGTGGTCAGTTGCGGACTGGCTTCTTGAGTAACGGCCTTCCAGAGGGAGGTTTTACTCATCTTGGAAAACTACTCTCTACAAGCTAGCATAGAATGATTGACTAATTGCTCGCTTTTGTAGTAAGAAACGTTCAGTTTCCCGGATCAGGGGCTGTTCAATCGGGCAATCTTCGTAGCTATGTTCAGCCATATTTTATGGAAAGCATTTCGGACCCTGAAAATATGCTGGTTTAAAAGCAGGCTAATTTATAAGATAGACTGTTCACCATACTTTTATCTCATTTTGTATTCGTAAACAAGGGTAATTTGACGATTCATCACCAGTGCGCCAGGTATCCCGAATCAGCTACTGATTTGCTGACACTTTTGGCATCTTTTTGTTCTGGTGGGCAATGGTTTGATCTTTTCAGTCGTCTCCTGTATTTTTGTGAAAAATTATTCTTTTGTTAAGGCCTGGGAAACAAAAGCTTCATTTTTGCGCCCGAAAGATACAAGTAACATTTATCGAACTATTTTTTCCTAACAAGAACGTGTTGTGCTCACTTATCGAGCTCCCCAACTTCATGCAAACGCAAAACAGCTGTGGAATTCTCATACCACCCAAATGTGTAACAACAACACAGCCCTCGCTCGTTCTTGTTCTTAACAAAAATAATGACATAATAATTAATAGCGTTGTAGCAGAGCTTGTGATTTCTCAACCGAGGCTTCTTCTTTAAAATGGGAAAAATTTATGCAACAATCCTAGAAGCACGTGCGGCCATTTTAGACTCATTATATATAATTCTCAGCTGTTCACATCTTACAAAATCTTGGAGAGTTCTAAATGCCCAACCTCATGACCAGAATCTTAAATACTTAACCGTCTGACCACGAGAGAATGATCAGCAAAGGAAATGACTTTGACCGTGTTTGTGCCTTCTAATAAGAATTAAGCGGCTGTCAAATAAATTCGGCTGTTCAACATATGTTGGCTAGGCCTACAGGAAGAAACCCCAGCTCAAAAGTATTATAAGCCTAAATAGACTTTCTAGGTTTCATTCTTTTCCGACGTAATGTAATAAACTTCATTGCTGTCACCATTCTCCTTTTAAGCTTACTTCCTCTTCGCCAACACAATTTATATTACTTAAATGAATTTCAGCAGCTGTCACCCCATTTAAGATCTGCAGACTTTTACAAACGTCCGATTTTATTCATTAGTATACGGTTTTCGTCACCGTGCCATCACTGCTCTGTTTAGGTTCCTTCAAACAGGCGAACATGCTGTACTGTAAAAGACCGTTGGATTAAATAGCAAATTACATTAGCAAACCTTTTCTCGATTTTCCGCCTTTGTTATTGTCGCTGGTTTCACCTGAGCACTGACAGCCCAAAGCTGGTCAGTGAGCTCAAATATATAGTAAGTTGGAAAATTACAATTATATGACATATGGTGTAGGCAGCATGCAGGTTGATGCGATGTACTGGCGAATGTAGAAAAATAAGCTTCATGTGAGCTATCAAAGTGTGTTCTGCAATTTCCCGAGTAGCTTTCCATCTGAGAACATACAGTGAAATCTCGGATATCATGGCAACGGAAACATGAGACGGTCTGCTGCAGTGCGTTGGGTACAAGAATATCATAAAACAAAGATTAGGCTGGGATTCGGCTTAGTTTCGAATGAAAAACAAATTTAATCTAAGTATTCCTTGGGAGTAGTCATGTTGCGATGGAAAATCTCAGCTGTGAAACGCACAAGAAAACACTGGCTTATCATAAAGCGTACGCAAGTTCTACCACGGAGACATCAATATTAATAAAATCCCAAAGGAACGGTATGTGCATTATTGTCACCATCATCATCATCGATGGCATTGCATCGTGTTTAACACCGACTCTTCGCTGCCGCACAACCAGGAGTTAATTGGTAGCCTTATTGTGAGGAAAATTTGTCAGGAAAAGAACATAAGGCCACCCAATCGCAATCGTTCCGAGGTGCTTACACCTCAAAGCACTCAATCTAGATGAGAACGGACAACATGAACGCCACTGACATCGGTTGGCTGGCAAACAAGCGCAGTGAGCATCATACGGTCCTTATCCTGGAAGGCGAGTAGCACCTGAACGTCTAATAATATCCTTCATACTCCTCCGCCATGTCAAGGATTGGCCACCTCTCTGCTACCATAACATCCTGGTAGTTTTACCAATCTAGCGGACTTGAGCCTATGTGTCCTGATGGTGCTGTCATAACCAGCGCTATTTGGTAACTGAGCTGTTTGGCTTTTGGTCCCGTTGCATGCAGTTTTCAAGGCAAATGCTGAGCTAGACGCACTTAGCATCCGGTGAAAAGCCGTGTGAAACAATTTAACAAAATTTCTCACGTCTTTCCGACTTTTACCCGATGAATTAGTCTGAAGCTCTGCTTATTATGTACCGCAGGGCGAAGAATAACGTTTCGTCTCGTTTTGAGGCCTTTAGCCATAAATTTTCTAGTTCACGTGGCGTTTAAGCTTTGTGATTCTTGTCCATATTTTTCCTAAGAAATTAATGATTCATTACAGTTTCTAGTACCTTATTAGGATTTGAAGCACATCGTGGCTTTCCTTGTGAGGATATCTAACAAATCGTTCTTAAGTTCCATATCATTTATCTGCTGCTTCATCAGATGTCCTCTCACAGTCCTGATATAAATGCTCAAAACCTATCTTGTTAATTCACCCATTTTTGTCAAACCAAGTAAGAACATGTGATGTGAAAGACTTTATTTTTTCTGCCGAGTCAACCTCTCAATTACACGAGCAGCGCTGTTTTTATCGCATGTTGAGGTACACAACAACTGCGATTTGTAATACACTTGGTTTTTTTGTCCACAAATGGTATACGCGAAACTGAAATGCACATTAGCCCTTTTAATTAAGAAAACTAAGTTATGTTACCATTAAGGGATATAAAATTTATCCGGTATTTGAATAATCACAGAGGTCTCATGTAGATGAGAACACATATTCCGGAAGTGGAATATTCCTCTATTTGGGAGCAAGCTACTCCACCATCCAAGCAAAACGCCAACTTTCGGTCGTATTTGATAGTTTGTGTGCCTGTAAAATTAAGTTTAGTATTTACTTTCTTAGACAAATAAGTTAACTAGAATAAACCGCGGTCAGATTTGCGGAACGTTTTGAGATCCCTGAATTGATGACCATCGCCACGTAGCCCAAATGGACGCCGAATTTTACAAGGTAGTTTTGTTTGTAATGTAGTGTCACTAGACCATTTTCAACAAAGTGTGCTTACGCAAGGACAAAACACTCCACGAGAGGCACTGTCCACCCAGCTCACAGTTACAAACCCTGGACGTTTGAGGAAGAGCAGAATGCGGCACGAAGGGTAAACACAAATTTCTACCTCAATATACACTGTGTTTTCACCAATTGAACTGATGCAATTCCCTAATCTACTGTGATTGCCACTCATTTAACCTAATGTGTTCACGCGGCCAGTTTTGTAGACAAAAACCACCATCTATTTATGTGACGGCTGCCAGGCAGGTAAGCATGGGGAAAAGGACGCATTGGCAAAACAAACTAACATACAATGCTGGTTGGCTGCAATACGCCAATATGCTGACGTGTTCAACCCGTGGACATGTGCCTGTAGACACATGTGTCGCAGTTTGTGTTGATGAGTTGTACCAACCACGGCCTCGCGTATCAACCACCCACCAAAGCAGGTGGGCAGAACCTTTTAGGATATTCCACTACGCACATTATCAGTGCGGATTGGAAGATCACAAACTATGTTTGTTTATAATTGGATATACTGAAAGCAATGAAATCAGCCAGTGACGTCCACTCTGTTAACATAAACATTCAGTACATACTACCTGTGGTTGAAACCACGGAACGGGAACTATGGGTTTAAGTGTCTCCAACATGTTTCCCACACAAATTTCGCAAGGCTTCACACAAAGTGATGAAATGAAGGTGTTGTCAGATGAAGCCTCCAATAAGGTGCCATTCATATGCGTTGCGCGTAAGCGGAATCCTTCACGTTCCCAATTCGGTTCAAGCAGTTCACCTAGCGTTCGTTCTCACCTCATAAGAAACGAGTGTGATGGCGTCCAATCAGACGGGCCAGCACTTAACACTTCTACGAACAAGGAGTTGAATCTAACAAAAGATGCCAGTGACGCACTGGTTTATCAGAAGAAATGTCAGAACTCCAAGAGCAAGTCGGTTACGAGGGTGAATGTGGAAGCGGCGCCGAAATGTGTGCTACAACTGCAAAGATCAAACCAACCGTCCATTGTGACCAAGTCAGAAATGGATCCTTTTGTTCCAGAGGCTTCCGAGATGTCTCAACACACATCAGCAACAAGAGACCTTCCTGTGTCAAACTTGCATTTACCACTACAACCTGAACAAAGACAAGGTTTTAGTAACGCACACAAAAGAAGTTCACTCCGATATATCGATTCAAGCTTAACAGGGAATCCCATCAAGATTAAAAATGTGCAGTTTGAGCCACACCATAACGAAGACTTTTCTAGTTCTTGGCCTCGGCAACAAATTTCTGACGTCAAAGAACTCTATGGTAAATTGGCACAGAAAGACGAGGAAATCAGGCAAAGAGACATACGGATTCATGAGCTCCAAGAAATTATCCTTGAACACAACCAGTTGTTGTCTCGGCTAACTGGAGTGAGGTGGAATGAGGAAAGGCCATTTCTCCGGAATGCAGTCATCAATTTAGAGCAACACTCAAGAACTTCTCCAGCCGGTCTTGTTACTTCTGACACCAATTCTTCAGGATATGGACAAGGCACATTTGTGGAAAAAACCTCGGTCTTTCCTCAGTCCTCCGTTCATCACAACTTTTTAGAAGAACTTCCGATGACAGCCTGGCCGGTTCATAGAGGAACCGCTGCCAGTGCCATGCAAACCTACACTGCGGCAGAAAAAAGAGGTAACTCGACACGAAATACAAAACCTTTCCATCCGTTCAAACTGCCAAAACGACGGAAGCGTTATGCGATATCTGGAGAATCGTCGCAATATCTTCTTACACCATCATCCCAACTGGCACAATTACCAAAGTTCACAAAGTCGGACAGGTGAGTTTACCATGTATGCATGCTATTATGCTTCAGTGGGCCTTTGATACTGCTTGCATAGATGAGCGTTGGTGTTAGTTAGAAAATTCGCCATCATAACCAAGTTAGAGATTATGCCCCAGCTTCTCCTTCAGATGCTGTTGGTATGTGCAAGGAACGCGATAAATAAAACAAAGAAGATATGCTCTACTAACGTGGAATGAATCTATCCTAACGGCGGTACAAATACTGAGAAGCAGTAAACACTAGGTAATCAATGCAACTGTCCGTACGCGGAGCATTTTGACAAACTATAAGAAACACTCAGTGTAGTAAACAAAAACTCAAATACCGACCGATATGACAAAACTATAGCAGTATTGACGACAATGTTTTGTGCATATTTGTAAGCGGGAAAATCTGAGAAACTGCCTAGGCAGAATCCTGGATAGTTTAAATGATGTTCCAATTAGCTTTACTAAAAATCCCGCAAAGCGTGTGCTGATAGTAAAAAATGTAGCGTTAGGCGCAGATTTTCTAGTCCCGCCCTTTCTGCACTGAATAGATTTGCCACTGGTTAGATGCAACCGGCATCCATTGGCCTTTCCAGCTTTGAGCGATTCGCAGTCGATTTGCAGTACGGGTTTCCCTTCTTGAAATGTTCGCAGGTAATTTCTGGTTCGCTATGTAATGCTTCCAGATCAAGCTGAATTAACACTAATTACCGATCACTCATGCATTTCATCCCGGATTTATGGTACTCAGTGAGTTTGTGAACTACCGCCCATGATATGCAAGTCAGAGACATAATCCCGAAGATCCTCTCCAATACTCTTATCAGTCTTTCGGAACTGGTGGACAAACAACGAGTTAGAGCGTTCATTAAGTATTTTAAGGAATCCAGTACACTCTGAGCTGCCAAAAAGACCACAGTAACAATACCAGTCAAACCTCTATACTGCCTGCTCATGTGCAGTTGAACCATGCTTAGAAACGACCGTTTGCTTCGAAGTTTTCCTGGCACAGATAAGGTAACGCAATCGCTGCAGAGGCTTACTGAACAGAAGTGTTACAGTGTTTTCTATCAATTCCCCAAGCAACGGCATGTAGGCAGGCGGATGTACCATTCAAAGACTATCAAATCTCCGTAAATAGGGCTTGAGGTTGCAACCTGAAAACACGTCTCATTAAGAATCATTTGTGTTGTACGCCTCATTGTTCGTTCAGAGTAAGTTGGTTTAATATGTGCACGACATGTTCTTTCTGCAATTTCACCCACTAAGAAAATTCTGGTTAACCAGTCGATCAAGCGCACTAGACTACTTACATAACGCCCCTGTTTCAAAACAATTGTATCGCATTCCGTTAAGACCTTTGTCCTCGAAATTTTAAAGTTACTGTATGTAGGGTAGATCTTGATCCGAAAAGACGGACGAATTAAAATATCAAAAAAATACCAAGGCACCACTACCCTTCAGATGGGCTACACAAATGTACTGATCTCACACGAATTCTACTTCCTTTGGCTGTTATGACTTCCGAAAAAAATAATGTTGTTCACTACGTTTGCTCCAAATTGGCTGTCAACTTTGAGGACACGGCCTTGTTTGGACCGATTGAGTTTTATCAAACTAGTTTTATTCCCATGCTGAAATCGACTGTAATATAAGATAATTTAAGTTGCAGAAAATCGACTATGAATCGCATAGCGTTTTTTGCTTAATTCACACGACTCTAGCAGCCTTACATGTATCGCTTCATCGAAAACACTGCAATTTTTCCACCGAAAAATAAACAGACCCTCGACTACGGTATTCATCTGAAGTTTAACAAGATTGTTTTAGGGTTCATTACAAACCATTTCACTAGCGGCTGCTTCTTAGTGCATTGTTTATTCCCCGTCCTTCACAAATCACCGTCTAAGTTCTTTGTGTGCTTACCTCAGTCAGCATGCACAGGTTACTATGGATTTCTGGCCCATGGCGCTCTGCCACACTTATCGCAGATGGAGTTGGTTAAGCGAAACAATGTAAGAAAAGTGCCAAAGTACTCAGCTATGTATCAGCTTAACAGTACAGTGCCATATTCCTATTGTCTGGCGGTGCCTGCACGCAGGTGATCGTCAAAGGCGCTGAATCTAACTTGGCTGGTGGTTTGTCTGTGTAACGTACCGGCCTGTACCTCCGGGTCACACGTCTGAAGCAACTGTATGTAGACGACTAGTAAAAGTGTAGATTAATGGGTACCCGACAAGTTCTGAAGTACTCCTTGTAATGTGTAAGCTAAAGCGTACCAGGCCTTGTTGCGGTGGTGTGTCCTCCACACACACACATTCGCTGTGTGGTGTTAAGTATTCTACTAACTTCAGTAGGTTAGGCTGACTGTAATGACGTGTGTCCCTGAGAGCGATCGTCTACAGTTCATTTTGTTTGCTACCAGCGTGTTGAATGCACGACCCATGCTGTTTCATCCATGGAGTTGGTCTCATTCATGTGGGTGGCGGATTTGTTCTGTCGTAGCGATTAACACGGGTTAGAAGGGTAAGGAACTGAAGGGACTAAGTACATGACCAGAAGCTCAATCTGCCAGGAATAATCCAGGTATATATCAAGGAAAACGCAGGATGTGCCGTCGAGCTAAGTGAATTTATGATATCTCTTTAAATACTACAAAAAATTGGATGATTCGTCTCTTCTGGAATTAACACAATGTCGCGCACCGAAAAGGAGGATACAGACAGACGCTTTGAGCCATGAAAATTGTTTAGACAACAAACCGAATAAGTATAATTTGGTGGCAGAATAATGGTTGTCACCAAGGTACGATAGAAAGAATGTATTAGATGAGATTTGTTTCGTTTGTCCGCTTTTCATCACAAATCATCTGCTCGGTCGTATTGGAAGGCTGTTAATCCTGTTGTCTTCGCAGTCTACTTCCGATTTAATTTACCGGCTTTGTTGTCATTCTAGGTGGAAAATAACCTGCTTTTGATTGTGCAGTCGTCTCAAAGAATTTTCGCCTTTACTTCAAAAGTTGTAAAAACCCGAGTAGAATGTACCTTCTGAACTCTTCCCCTAACTGCAATACAAAATTTTAAAAAAATCTCACTCGCATCTTGCGTACGGAACTGTACGAACCATTTTTTCAAACAGAAATGCCACCAAAATGGCTGGCTCCCTGAAGGTCCAAATTTTCTGACTACAATTCAGTCATCATTTGCTGCCTGGTAGCTCATAACTGCCGTGCCCAGAAGTTTGTCGATTTCTTCTTGAACAAATTGAATGTAAGATGGAAAACCTGATCACAGGATATGAGAATCCCCGATTTGATAAAAACGTTCATGAATAACATATAATATGCTTCAACGCCTTCCATTTCAACATGCCGGCTACAAACACGAGAAAGAAATAATATGATGTGGCCAAAATTTCAGAATGTGCCACTGATAGCTCACACGTTCTTTTTTCTATTTAATTAAACGTTGACGTCCATATCATATTTTATGGCTCCATGTTTGGTCTGTCCAACGCCATTCCAAATGATGCCGCGTCACGCACATGTCGCATTGTATGAGAGCATGTACCCTGGAAAAGGCTAAGTCAATCTGATTAAAGCAGCAAGCTCACAGTAACAGAAAACATACAAGACTAGCCAAAGCTCCTTTAATACACTGGTCACATATTCAGGGTAGCGCTAATGGACTCCCTGTTCAAACGTCAGAAGGGACACGAAAGCACTGCGTACGTATCTATATGCATTGCCCCTTGAGCGAGACAAAATCACGTTTTTTGGTGCCTAGTACTCATAGGCTTTGCATGTATGTCCCTCCCATTCATACCTAATCGTGATTTGCGCTGGTCATTTTATGAAAACGGTTGTGTTGCACTTATTGAAAATATGTTTTTTTCAGAAAAGTGAAAGTTGACTTTGCGTCTTCTGCCAAAAGCTACCTGCTCTGTTCTTTCAGTAAAACAACCGTGCATGTAGCTTAAAAGCTGAAGCGAAAAAGATTATTTTTCGTGAAAAAATACAGAAAACGCACAGACTGAATCTCCCAAAGCTTTACAAGGATATGAAATGACCACGAGTTCATATAATCACTTTGACTTCTGGTCTCAGTTGGGTTGACAATCGGCCGAAAAAGGACAATTTCCAGACAATAAATTATTTGCGTTCAACAAAAAACAGACTGGAAATAAATAATTATGTATTTTGTGACGAGTCTGCTCTAGATTTAACTAGCGTTCAGCTCTCAATCAGCTACTTTCCCTTTTGGACATACCTCATTAATTTACTTCCAGCAGTTTACATGGCGTTAAATGAAAAAAAGCCGTTTATTAGATATAGATTGCTGCAAGTGAATTTTGATGTATTCCGAGCGATTTTAGGTTTAAATCGTGGTCGCCACTCAAAATAAACAAACTCGTATGTGTAGTTGAGGACCTGTTTCACCTGGGCCACAGTAACGGTGAAGTATGCAATCCATTTTGCATTTCAAAGCTCCATCGCCGTATTGATCCACAGGTGCATGACATTTCCTTCAGATATTGCGTGCCGATATCCCCTTAAAAAAGCCACGATTCAGACAGCCTTGTGATTCGTTCGATGCTATCGCGGACAGTTCAAATTGACTGCATTGTGTTCGCCCTCTAGGAATTCCCGTAGTATTGACGGCTTTAATAGGTGTGTGATTTTGCGCGTGGTTAGCAATGAATTTGTCCCTTAATGAAAAAAGCTTCTTCAAGATTAACAAACAGTTCTTTGAACTTCGCGGATGCATGACCAGTGTTGCAATAGGAAGTGTTTTTGTGAGAATTGCGTTGAAGATAACGACATTCGCGTCTTAGGTGGATCCAAGTGGTATCTCAGGCTTTACCAGCACTGAGCATGTATTAGTGATGTATGTTCTGTGTTGGTGCACATCATAAGTAGACAACGAACGCAAGAGCTCATGACTTTATTTCAAAATAGTCTGTTTAACTGTTTTACTATCCTTCTATAATGACCGATACGGGGGTTGAAATCTCAGTTGAGGACCGGGCAATCAGTGAGCTGAATGGATGTGATAACAGACAACAACGGCTCGTAGAAGTTTTTCTATCAAGCTTTTGGCTAAGAGATTTTGAAGGTACCCATTGGACAAGTCTCCTCGGAACGCTAAGCCTAATAGACGGTTTTCCACAATAATGTGGTCAGCTTCATCCAAAATTTTTCTGTTCACATAGATGGCCACTGTGTATCTACCTTTCTACACTATTCTTTGTTTGGCTAATCCAGTTTTCCTGAGAGCAGCTATGTCAAGAAAGTGGCGCACTCAGTGCACAAAAACTACACGTGTTTTGCAATTCTCCCTCATATATCTGGGGAATAGGGCACTACGTTCATGGGCTACGGGTCCCAGTGAGCATGTTCTAATGCGTTTGTTTCGTTAAGTGGTACAAATTTCATATATCCAGTGCCAATGGGCTCCTTCTCATTACTTGTTTCGCTGGTCCCAGACAAAACGATCATGTTGATTCCATTTTTTTGTTGGTCTCACCAAGCCCACTAATTCAAAGTCTATTTCACTTGGCGGTGGATACTAATATGGGAGATTTAAACACTTTCAAATGTTTACTCGCAGAAACGCGTACATTAAGCATATGCGTAAAGGAGCGCTAACAGCACCTGCAGACAACTAAGGGGTCGAGTGGCACAAACCCGACGTCAGCAAACGCCGGTTGCATAACTATGGGAAGCGGTACATAGATTGGGTAACCGCTGTACCCTTAGGTTGCCTGTCAAAAACGGACGGTGTAGCGTGACATAATGTTTTATCAGAAGCGGAATCCACCATTATTATACATCTAGGGACATAGAGAATGTCATTCCGCCTAATTTTCTGATTACGTCTGGCTGCAGCTGGTCCGCCAGTAAATCTGAACGGTAAATCTTGTACATTAAATTACTTACACCGTATTTAGGTTTTTCGCGAACGAGTGGCCAGACAGGTTGAAAGTAGCTGAGTATTCAGACAAAATGAATTTGTTCAGGTAGTTTACCCAAATTGATAAACCTTCGTCGTAATGGTGCATCTTAATCACAAATGCCATTCTTTTTGCTCTGCGAGAGAATTACACGTTCCTCGCTTCAGAGTGGGCGAGATTACCTCAAAATGTAGGCGGGCTTAACAGTTTTTGAAGTGAATTGATTAGATAACTTGATACTTATTCATTCGTTACGTCGGACGCGGAGTCCATTGATTTCCAATGACAAAAGTGTCTGAAATCTTACAGAGGAGTGTCCTCCGTCAAGAGTCATGAGTATCGTGTTGGTTGACCTGTTCATTGTTGGGTCGATCACTTCTTAGTTTTCGAAATGGAACAAAAACCGCGGTGCTTAAAAATGCCTCTTAGTTTGTGCACAGTGAACACGGGACCCCAATCATATGAACGGGTGTATGAAACAATCAACTTCGATGTGAACATGAATCGGATTTATCGATGATCCATACGATTTTTGCTCACAAACACTAGACAGATTTCAGCTCCTTACAGTTCAAGGGAAAGTTTGAGTTACCTCAGCAGTGCTTCAAGGTTTGATTTTAGGCATTCAGAAACCGTAGCCTTAATGCTACATCCGTTATTGCAGTAATCACCTAAGCCACCGTATGACCAAGCGCCGGCTAACAATTAGTTATTTAGATGATTTGTAGGGCCGTCAAACGTTTACCGTCACTTAAATACCAGGAGTAAAGGCCGATTTCGAGAGTAGTTTACAAGTACGTTTGCAGTTGTTGCAAGCATGCTTAACAATAAGACAGACTGCTATTGAAATGTATGAAAATTTCTGTCCAGACCGAAGTCTTTTGTATATGAAACGTTCACTGTTGTCCCACGAATAAATGGGGTCCCTTGTTTGGAATTTGATCACAAACACTGCGTGTAATTTGAACCGGTGGGTCATATATCACCTTCTATTCTCCTCAGATATATGTACCGATAATGTGTTTAAATCTCTGGTGCTGATGTTTAGACCAGTTGACCTTTCGTAACTGAGTGCAGAAATGTCATCAACATGTTTTGGGTCAGCAAGGTTATCGCATGGGCCAAGTTGGATACCCTTACCTCCTCTCCAGATCATTCTCAATTGTTTAGGTAATCAGGGAAACAAGTAACGCGTGTGACGAAACACAACCATCTCCTATACTAGGCAAGATATTATCGGGGTTTTCTTTTCCTGGCCTTACCTAAGTGGCCGAAATGCAGCCGGTTTGGAAGGTACATCATGAACAGGAAACATATCCCCTAAGAAATTGCTGCAGGCCGGCAAGTCACAGCAGAGGGTAACGAAACAAAGCGTTTTGGATGATTTGTATGAGTCAAACAGAATGGTTCCATCAGATTTGTGTGGTAATTGATTGAATAATAGTTATACGAGTGCTTACGGTAAAATGGCAGCGCTTGCACTGTTTTCCGCTGGAGAATTCCGAGTGAGCTGTAAGAATGTGTACGGCGGATTCAAACTACATGCCTGGCGGCCTTTCTTAGTTTTACGCATGCGTTTCGCATCAAATTTAACCAAACTGAAGAGGAGTTCAAAAATTCTGCGCACAAAGTCACCTGTTGAGGCATCAAATATATTTCCATGGATTATTGAAATTCCTCTACAGGGAATCGGTCTCTCACCTCCACTGATAACTTTTGCCTATCAAGCTAGTTGGTGTTGAAAAGACTCCATCCAGATCAGAAATAGACTCTGTTTGAATTTCCTCGACTAGACTTGCGCAATTTTTCTCAAACATTTTCCTCTGGTAAAAATTACATTGGACGTACCCAAACGGAACGACAGAACAGACTCAAGCACTAAAGCCTCGATACAGGGTTAAAATTTCTTCCAATGTATGCTGTTTGTTGCACCAGAACAAAGTCAATAAATGTAGATGTATATCACGCCCAAGAGGCTAATTTCATCAAAAGAGAATGTATTTCATTTGAAGTGATTCAAGTGAGCAGATGGAATAATGACTGATAAGGTTACCCACAGAAACAGTGACCTATTTCACATTGGAGAGGGAAAAGAAAATCGAATAAAAAACCTGAATGACAGACCGGTGCCGTTTTACATCTAGAAATACCGGTCTTTGGCAGCGGTTGTAAGTATTGAAAAACAAATCTACTAAGTTTTATGTCCTAAGTTTCTTGCCAGGTGAAAAAATCGAAATTCGAATAGATAATGCACTGGTTGAACCTTTGTACCCTTCAACCTAAAAACTAGGCGCCGCCGATCTCACTCTTGTTAAGACCGAATGGTTGTTGTTGTTTTAAGTATGAACTCTGAACTAACTAATTGGTACTCACCACGTGCAACGCTGCAATCCCAAAAAGCAGGGAGTAGTCATCTGTATGAGTGAGTTCATATTTCCAACATTGACTGTATCATTTATTGTACCATTTATTGTAGCATTTATTGTACCGAGTAAGAAATTCTACTCAAATCTGATCTGAGACTAAATCCATTGATATGACCGCGACATCTCATTGTTGCAAATGTCCTCAGAGCTACCGCCGAGTACCTGATGATTTGGTATGTCCCACTGAAATCCGAAAATGAACCCAGCTTAGAAGATGTTGAGGAAATCCGAAAACCTAGCCAGTATACGAAGAGCTGACTCAATAAACCAGAAAAACAACACGACCCCATATAGCTCAGCTTATATTCAAAAGTACTGAGCATGCTTGAGGGAATTCAATTTTTAATATGATGCAGTACTCCTAAAGGTAAATGGCTACAAATCCGTAATACAAGGGTGGGAAAATTAGATAATGCGCATAATTGTTGAAGGTCAATCCAAAGGAATAAAGCCACCTTGTATTTCATTTTCAGGACGAAACAGCTAATCACTCAAGCAATATTGGAAAACGATTTTATGAAACACTTGGATTCTTGGCAAATTTCGGAGATGATCGATTCCATGTGCCCGCTCCGATGTGCTCGGTTATCGTGGATTATACAGGAGGGAGAAATCGGATCGGTTGTCTACGTGCTAGAAGGTATGCAATTTTAGGTTAAGTTGTAAGCAGGCGAAATTTTAACTCGAGTGTTTCTGATCTTTTTCGATCTGTATGTCTGGCGTGACACTTGATTTGCAGAAGTTTCGTCACCAAATCATAAGATATCGATATTGCACTTTCCCATGGATACTACACCCTTTCCTGCGTGCGCTTTAAAGAGAATTTGTCTCTTCACGTGATTAGCCTACTGAGGGACAGTATCTTCGTTAGGTCATCGGTCCACTTGTGATTTGTATCGATTTATGGTCTAGAGTTTGACTGGTTAGTGGCGCTGTCCTGCTTTTTCCTGTAAAAAGACTTGTGCGGTTGCTTCTGGACGTTTAATATGGTTCTATCAATTCTGTCTTTTAATTTATGTGTTAGGTGCCTATTCCGTTCCTGTTTTTCCATAGATTATTGAATTGCTTTTTGGCACGGATTTTACTTCATATTTTAGGTGTCCATTTTAGTTATTAAAATGGGTCAAAATTAGTATTTTTCTTGATTGTGCACCATGGTTCCATAAATTCGTGAACTACCTCTGTTCTTGCTTGGGACAGTGCAGGGATGCCATCCCTTTATGTTATCCGTGCCCTACAGCCATTTCAGTGCTGTTCCACATGTATGGCAGTCTGATTTCTTTACCTTCCACATGTGCTGTTGTGTCAGTCGCATTTAGCTTGCCAAGAGATCGCCACGTGAGATCATGGGTCTTCAGCACTTTTGAAGGGTCTGTTTGGTTGCTTTCCTTCTATACTCTCGGCTAGCATATGTTCATCGACTCGCTTTTAGCGTTCTATAGATCAAGACAGGTAGGCGATGAGAGAGAATCGTTTAGACAACAAAAGGAAGAGTCAAACTTGCTGATGCAACTGGGTTAGCACATTTGGAACACAAACACCCTATGCCGTTTGTGAATCGAGAAATACCACAATAACCACAAAAAAGCTTGAATAATAATCCAGTAGACAATCCGAAGAGATAAAACGTAAATTTAGTTACCCTAGAATTGATGCATTCAGCCAGCCCAACTCACGAAAGAGACTCCCAAACTGTGGTTTCACCTAATATACCCAATAAGCAATTTCCTTTTTTGAGCAAAACACTGAACAAGTTGAAAAATGACAAGCATGTCGTCGTTGCCAGTCAAATCGAGGCAAGGTTACCCACAAACAAACAAAAATCACATGTCCAATGAACGCAAAAATATCTGTACTCCGTTTAGCCAACTACATAAAAACATCACGGGTACTCTTCAAAAACCAGATAAAAGCACGCTGGAAAAAAGAATTTACACGTGCAAACGCGCATTGTCAAAGTCTCCTCATTTGGCAACTAAGAATTTGTAGGCTGACTTCCATGCCCAGCAAACCGACAAGCGGCCTCCTGGAAACAAACAAGAGGTTCAGCTGGGTTCCAGGTGAGTCTCCCAAAAAAGCAAATTTGCTTGCGAAATGGGCCTATCTAGCTAATTTCGTGCAATTTGGTTCCAAGTAGTACATAAGGTTGGCGAAAACTAGAGGAATGTGCCTACCTGATGAGCTTCAAGAAGGGCGAAACTGGTCGTGGGATGTCGATGAATTTTCAAAAACATTATGAGTAGTGCATTACAAATATCTACCGCCTCCTCGTTGGTCAACAGTGCGTGTTGCATTCTTTGTTATTAATTTATTGAACGATGACTTTAAACCATGGTTTCGTGTGGTTTTCAATTATTACAAAACCAAACAAAAAAACCAACTAAGGCAAAAGTAGACTAAATTTTCCAGTCTTTAGAAGTCATTAAGCGACAGTTTTGGAGACAAACATGAATAGGCTTGTACTAATATGACCGTTTGCGTTTGAGTAGGTAAACAAAATTATTTGATAACCTCTGATATTCGTAAATTTTTACTTCCAACGTTCGATGTATACAACTATCCCTCGACGATATCAAGTCCATTGATTATTCTGTTGACCAGCCATAAATTGATTAACTTTGCCGTTGAAAGGAATTAGATACAGAAGCTTCTCGAGTGGTTTTGCTCTGCATTCTTGCCCCGTGGGCTACCGTTCAAATTAGCTTAGTAAAGGGCTTGAAATATTAATCTAGCTTAAAAATAACGCTTTACTCACAGAGTAAATATACTGGCAATACTTTTAGGTGCATCCATCACAGTCCTAGCATATACGTTATCAATTCACAAACAGTATGGACTTATTTAGTTAATGCTGCTTAGTGCTCGCCTTTCAAGTCTACCCATAAAAGTGTCAGCAACTAAGTAGCCAACCCATCGTTGAACAGTGTGTCGCTGAAAACTACACATTAAATGTGCATTCTAGGAGCGGTTGTTCGAGATCCGGCAGGACGTTTTGTATTTGTGGTATCCTGGTAGATAAAATCAGCCGCTTTCGGCTGTAGCTGGAAAGGCTACATTGTTCAAAAATGGAATAAACTCTAAAGGGTCAACGTTACGGTCACTGGGTAGAGAGTCACGGACCACGTGAAATTTTATCTCAATAACTGTATCACCGGTTATTTTGGAGCATCGGTATCGAAAAGGATATATCTGTTACCAGTTAATTAGTCCACCATAAATATGGAAATTTGGAAGCCGGAAGTCCTACGCCTTCTAATACGGTGCACGCTAGATGTGCACTTTCAGCTGAACAGTCAGTTATGTGCACAAAAAGGCATGTAGCAATAGCTTTATTACATGGTACCTTGATGGCTGATAATTCCGCGGGTAAACCCGAACAATCAGGATCAAAATGATCCAATAACCAAATGGGTCTGCATTGTCCATATATGGGGATATGAATATTTTGCATAACAGAACGGATTATGTGTCACGGCATAAAATAAATAACCAGATTGTTCCAGAGTGTTTTTGTGTCCGTGAAGCGGAAACTGATGTGTCTTTCCATTCCGTTGGTGCCGATATGTCTAAGGAACCTGGCAGTGGAATACAGAGCTGTTTATAGAAAACCGACTTACTGAAACAATACATAAATTCATTAGGCTTTATTTATTGGATATACAGGTGAAACTGGGATTGCCGTTTTGCATGTAGAGCCTGCATTCAAAATCCATGGATAGAGAAATATAATTCAATACTAAAACCACAAATTGAACAGAATCTCCAGAGGGAGATATCAGGATGTTGTCTAAAAATCTTCATAAAAAATGGTACTAACTGTACGAAAAACGTTATATTCAAAGGGAACTAGCAGTGTTCTGTCCGGCCAGATACAAAGAACGCCATGAACGGTGCGCTAGATTCTGGTCACCCGAGCAATTCAGATGTCATTTGATGTAAACTGCAATGTAAATAAGGTCGTAAGTCGGTGTCTGCCCTCAAAAAATTTAGTTACAGTACTGATTGAATAAGTGCCTATCTTAAAGGCAGAATGCAGTCCAACATTTTCTGATTTAATGGTAATCGTCCACCTTTTTTATCTCCAGGAACCAGCGCTTTGGCCACTAATAATTCTCGTATAATTGCCAGAGTATTAAAGCACTACCCATCAAACATTAGCTCGCACAAAAGACAATTAGGAACTGCTCTGCGCTGCTCTTGAAGATGGTAAAACATTTGTGGGCGGAAGTAGCAGGTTAATGTACTTGGTGAATAAGACTATTGCCTAGTTTGTCCATCTGAATTATCATCCATTATATACTGAGTGCATACAGCTCAATCAGAAAACTCAAGATCCATATAGGAGTAAGCAAATAAAGAATACTTGATGCAGTCATAGAAATTTGATGTTAGTTCACCCATTTCGGTAATACGCTTGAGTTTCAAGAAATTTTATTCTTCGGACATAAGACATTATCTCCTTTAAGGGAACTTGCGTAGGAAACTTTAGTTCAAAGTCCAGAACGGGTGTCAAAAACTTTGTTTTTGTTGGGAGATTCTTGGTTTCGTCGAACAAGTTTGTTGATCTATTGACATGAACTATCGGGTCTCTAAGTCTTTTACAATTTAGATACTGAATTAGCTCGTAACACATTAAAATTTATGCGTGATTAAAAGCTGACCGTGTACCATAGGATAATGTACTTTATCATGCTATCCTTACAGAGCAAGACATGCCACAACAGACAGCAAATATACTTGGGTTTCGAATTCTCACAACAAACTTTTAGGGCGAAAATATAAAACTCACCTCTAAAGCTGTTGGAAAGTTATCCAAACGTTGATAATTGCTCAGGCTCTTGATTTTTTGCTGAGCAAATGATGGGGCACTCATAGTATGATGGATCCAATAGAATCCTAAAGGACTGCAGTAAAAATAAAAGACTCCTGTTAAAATACGCTTAATGCTGTCTTTTCCGGTCAAACTGGCAGTTAGAAAGAAACCCTAACTTCCAAAAGATTGTTTCTACAAGATTTGCAAACAAATGATAGGCTGTAAGACACTTTCGAAAACTTTATGTTGTAATATTTTTCAAGGAGCTCATTTTGATTGCAAACAGCGTAGAACACAACAAAATCTTTAATGGTTTTTGAGAGGAAATTAAGTGTGTTTATGATATATCGAGCTCTCTTGCGCCTGATCAGTTTCAGGTTCGAGACAAAAGACAGAAAGCTCCTTAGGATATGTGCCTGTGACGCTGGTCTCTAGAGCTTTGTTGTACATACATCTAGATATATAGTACACTGATGATTTCCCAAGGGTTTACTAAATGAAACGTTGTTTGTGAATGAATCCTTGGAGGCTTTTGGTATATTGGCGACCGATCTGCAGCATTTTCTTCGTCGCGTCACGGGTGTATGTACACGCCAGCAATTTCGCAAGACATAAACAACCAGGATCTGCCTAAATAAAACAGTTATTCGTGAACACGCGAAAAGTGAACCTCAAATAATTTCATGATAAGAACAGGGATAGTGAGCGATGCTTGTTTTTTCAATGATTCTCTTAGCTGATTTGCCACAGATGTATAAGAAAGTTCATATTCTATTGAGAGAACAAGTTTGCGAACCACCGTTTTCAGTCGCTTCACATCCAGTAA